ACCAGAAGGCTTCATGCAAATTACCTCCAGGGCTTGTTTCTCCTTCACATGAGACATTTCCAGGGATGCAGCCCTGACTCCCACAGATGGGAGGAGTGCTGAGGAAGGGAAGCATGGGGGGGATCACACGCAGGCAGAGCAGAGCTCCATGGCAGCAGACATGGAAAGCCAAGGGAGAGGGAGCGATGCCAGTGACTATGCAGCTCTTGGAAGAATCATTAATTTCCTCAGTTCCCTCCCCATCTGCGTGCTCAAGGGCACCTGTGAATAGGTTTTGGACCTGAGCTGGTGACTTTTTCCAAATTAAATTCCACTGAAAATATTATTGATGGCCTCCTATCTCAAGCTCAGCATAACAGATAACCAGAGGAGCTGGAATATTGAAAGCTTTCTTGAGGACAAAGCCTGCACTCATGCAGTTTCACTGCTGTAGAGTTAGTCTATATTAATGTCATTTAAATTTTGCCCAGGGTCTTTAATAAGAATTCAAATATAACTGCTGGGGGTTTAAAATATGTGTTTTGAAAATTGGAGCCATCCAAACTATGCAGAACAGCACATCTCCTGTGTTTATTTTTATTCCTGATCTAGACTCTGCATCAGCTGTCTTCATGGTTTGGTAGTGTGAAGTATACTGGAAGCCTACCAATGCAGATATATATATATAAAACTTCCTTTTTGGTTTGCATCAGTAGAAGGACAGATTCTTTTTCACTTTGAGTCACTAAAAAGTCACTGTGCAGGCTAATTTAAGACAAATGTGAGCACATGATATCTGAACAACGGATGTGAGGCTGTGTTTGAAAGAAGTATGCTGAAAAAGCCTGCATCCTTAGGGGTCTTTGGTAGGAGACAGCGCTGGCAACCACTTGGAGAAAGGATTCTGTTACTGCTGTGGTATTTTGGGCTCCAGGGTGCAACATTTAGAATGTGCTCTGCTCAGACGGTCATGGGAGGAGCCCCTCCACCGTGGCAACTCACATGTGACTTTGCATTGTTGGAAATGATCACACAGCAGAGAGAAAAAGGAAAAGGAGGATGGCCTTGCATACACAGACCGTGATGGTCTATGACTGCATTCTCCAAGGCTGTAAGCAGGAGTCATAAATTGCTGTATTGCTTGTTTTCACCTCTCATCTAATTGAAGAAACAGTGTATACAGGTTTGCAGATGGCCCATTTATTTTGCTGAACTACCTAGGACTCAAGGATGCTGTTTAGAACTAACTGGGTTCAAGCACAACAAAGGCATGGGGAAATTGGCTCTCGACAAAATCAATTGTCAGGCCTTTTCTGCAAGGCCACAGCACCTCCCTTCTGAATTAATGAAGCTTTTGCCATAAAGGCAGAAAAAATATAAGGCACACTTACTCACAAACTGGCAGAAATGTTGCAGAATTTTGCAGTTTTACAGCAGCACAGTCATCAGCCTGCTGTTTGGGTATCAGCCCTGAGTGGGCTGCAGGAGGAAGGAGAGGCTATGTGCAGCTGCAGCTCACAGAGGACTTTTCAGACACATTCCACCTGAAAGTGTCCTGTGCCCTCGGAAAGAGGCTCAGCCTCTGAGGATATGTGAGCAGTTATGTTTGAGCCTATCCACCCTGTGTGTTCTGGGAGGCAAGAAACCCTCTGACAGCAAAGCCATCCTGCTCCAGCCTCCCCTCTACATACCCAAATATACCTGCTCTGCTGCAGCACGTGGCAGGTTGGGCCAATGCCAGATCTCTGCACTGTGGTCCAGTATAGTCTGGGAGACCTGAATGTGCTGTGCCAAGAGAGACCAGAATCACCATCAACAGAGCACAGCAACAGATTGGAAAGGGGAGTATTGTTTTCTTCATTTTATACAGAGTGGGCTGAGATACAGAAACATGTTGGATGTTGTCTTTGATTAAAGACTGGTGGTGATACTCAGAAATAGCTGCTGATTTCAGAATTCTAGGAAGTACTGGTTACATTGTGCCAAAGGAATAAAGAATCCCTAGTCACACCAAAAGTGTACTATAATTTTTTTCTCTTGATTTCTGTTCTTTTACTTGGAAGGTTTCTGTTATCCAACTTGAGATGACAGAGGTGATCGAGGACACATTATGGGCCAGGGGCTGTGAAGGATGAGCAGCCTAATGACCCACAAAAACCAACCCTGACTAGAAGATTCTTTATCCAAATTTCTCTCATAATTACAAATGGACTGGGAAAAAAAAATAGAATCAATTCACTAACCAAAGAAGGTATAAAGCAATAATAAATTCGATTCCACTACGATTTACCTTGTACAATATAGATGTAGTATATAGGTACTAATGTGAGTTTTGGATAGCTTACCTGAGTTGCATCTCCAAATCTTCTTGATTGTTGCTAATCTTTTCTACTAAAATCACTGTATTGCTTATTTAGGTATCATACAATGACAAGAAAAAATACTGAAGTACTGGAAGAGAGGACACTAAAGTTCTTACTGTAATTGCAAATCCCACCAGTGACTCAGGTTTTATAAATCTTAAAATGGGTTTCATTTCTGTGATAATATAAATTAATTTATAAATGGAAGGCAGTAAGCACACCTATACAATTCTTAGATGATTTGGTGTTTATTCCCCTCAGGTACTGCTGAGCTGTGGGGTTGAGTCTGTGGGTCCAGGACCACCTCTTGCCCTGCAGCAGGCATGGGTGCTCCTTGGAATCACAGCACGGAGAGAAAACCAGGAGACAGGCCATCTGTTGTGCTGGCCAATGCTAGCTCCAACAGGTGCGTGTTTGAACAAATATTTGATATTGTCCAGGAAATACAAAGGGCTTTGTGTACATATTTCTGTGCTAAACTAGTCCTCTACACACTGCAGTGGGAATACAGCAGGGCACGGACTTCTGTTACTTCTCTTCCCCTGGGCCTGGCTGCGACCAGGCTTTGGCTCACGAGGCAGCTTTTGAGAAGAGACCCGGTTTATTATCCGTGAGGTCACAAGAGAGTCACTGGTGGTGTGGCACAGAAAGGCTGTGGGGAGTTTAGAGGAGGCTGTGGGAGGGCTGTGATTGCCAAAAAATCAGCACTTCTGTAGCCTGGTGTAGGGCTTTGGCCCAGATTTTTATGTGCCTGCTGAACACATGCAGCATTGGAGGGCTGGGGATCAGAGACAGGGCCACGAGCACAGTGCCTTAGAATCACCACAGCAAGAGCAAACCCCTCCCTGCCAGACAGGCACAGAGCTCAATACACAGTCCCCTACAGTGTCCACAACCCCTGCACAAAACAGCAGCAATGAGGTGGTGGCACAGGACTTGGAGCAGCCGCAGGGCTGCCTCTGCCAGTTTGGCTGATGGAGGACAGAAGCTCATCTTTGCCAAGGGGAGAGGGATGTTCCCCAAATACTGGATTCTGAATTGTGTTCCCTCATGACTCTCTAATCACTCAAATATCTCACTCTACAATAATTATTTAAAAAATAAACCTAGGAAATGAGATAACTCTGGCAAGCACCAAACCCCACGAATTCATTCTCATAACACCAATCACTGCATTCCTGTTAACATCTTTGCTGCTGTCCTTTCCTCTCAGGCTGGGTGGCTGCAGACACAGCCTGGATGATGGCAGCCACATGCAGGGAGCTTCACCTCCTGCTTCTTGTCAGGCCTCCGGCAGCAGCTCCCAGCTCAGCAGCAGTGGAATGGAAAGTCCTGCTTCTCCCTACAGACCTCCTCTGCTTGGGTAAGGGTGGCTATTGACTCCATCATTTCTGCTCCTGCTCTGCTCAGGGCAGTTCTGAGAAACCCTTGGTAAGAAACCTCCTCTGCTGTTGTCACCCCCGCGGCTCCTTGCCCTCCGGAGGTGGGACCCGATGATCCCGGCCGTGCCCGGCAGTGTCCAGCCGGGGCTGACCGCACCACGTCCTGCCCGGGCTCCAGCAGCGGGAACCGGGGACCTGCCGTGAGCTGCCGTCGTGCCGGCGATGCCGTGGCCCCGGGATGCTCCTCGGCAGCACTCGGAATTCCCGACACAGCCGCAGCTGCGGGGAACGCGCCTCTTCTGCGGAGAACAGCCGAGCCCGTGGCGGGCGCGGAGGGCACCCGGGACCGCTCCGCTCGGGGCCGCTCCGAGCGCCGGCGGCTCGTCCGTGCCGCGGCCACAGGGGCTACCGGGGCCACCGGGAGCCATCGGGGGCCACCGGGGCACCAGGGCCACCAGGAGCCACCGCCGCGGGCGAGCGCGGCGGGGCCGGGCCTGGCCGGGCCGCCGCCCCCCGGGCCGGCAGCGGGCGGCGCGGCGGGACCGGCGGCAGCGGCAGGATGGTGAGCGGGGCGGCGGGCCGGGACAGACAGACAGACAGACAGACAGACAGGCAGACAGCTCCTGCCCGGGACCGACAGATAGACAGGTAGCTCCTTCTGGGGACAGATAGGCAGACAGGTAGCTCCTGTCACGGACAAACAGCTGCGGCCGGGGACAGACAGGCAGCCCCTGCCGGGGACGGACGGACAGACAGACAGACAGACGGGCAGCCCCTGCCGGGGACGGACGGACAGACAGACAGACGGGCAGCCCCTGCCGGGGACGGACAGACAGACAGACAGACAGACGGGCAGCCCCTGCCGGGGACGGCGGGACAGACAGACAGACGGGCAGCCCCTGCCGGGGACGGACGGACAGACAGACAGACGGGCAGCCCCTGCCGGGGACGGACGGACAGACGGACAGACGGGCAGTCCCTGTCGCTGGCTCCCATCCCGAGAGCAGGGGCCGAGCGGCTGCTGCCGCCGTGCCGGGGCAGGGCGCTGACCCGCAGTTTTGGGGCATTCGGAGCGCTCCGCCCTTGCGCTGCTGCCGCCCCGAGAGCCCCGCTCGGGCCGCCCGTTCTGAGTTCCCCCGGTCCCCGGAGCAGCTCCAGCAGGGATGAGGCAGAAGCGCAGCGCCCGCGGCTCGGCCGAGTGACGGCGGCTGCGGCAGCGCCAGTGCGGGGCTGCAGGGCCATGCGGGGCTGCAGGGCCATGCGGGGCTGCAGGGCCATGCGGGGCTGCAGGGACAGTGCGGGGCTGCAGGGCCATGCGGGGCTGCAGGGACAGTGCGGGGCTGCTGTGCCCAGCTCCGGCCGCTGCCACCGCACCGGGCACCGGCCCGCCCTGGCTCGGCTGCTGCTCTGCAAAACACCGCCGGCTGCTCGCTCTCTCGTGCTGAACGCTTGCGAAACGCTCCTGTGCTCACTGAGAGATACAATGGCTGCCCAACGTTATTACTTTCTCTTTAGGCCGTCAAGCATCATTACTTTTTCTCTTGCAATATAAAATTAGCAGAGGAATCTGAAATACAAAAAGGTGATGTGTTGGGGCAGTGTTTGAAAAACCATCTTTTTCGTGCTCATATATTTTCTTTTTGCAGTATGGATTTATAAACATGTGCCTGAAGTCTTTGGTGGTTGAAAAGTACGGTGAAGAAACATGGGAAAAATTAAGGTAATGTGTTCCAAATAAATGTAGTGCATTGAAAGAAAGCGCTCAGGAATTCAGCAGCAGAGGATATAGTTTCTTATTGGTAAATGGTAGCTGATGTGTAGCTCAAGTAATTATTATTAGGAGTAACTAACAGGGCAAAAGCAAGAGTTTGCCTTGTAACACTTCATCCTCTGATACTAATTTGTCCCAATTAATTTGTCATATCAGATAATTAAAGATGACATTTAGTCTTTTACACAATTTTGCAATAGACTCCCTGGCTCACTGTGACAATATCAAGAAGTAATTACGCTGAAAAGATGTCATCCTTAATATAAAGTCAGTTTAATTCCAGTACTCAGAAGAGCAGCTAAATCATAGCATCATAGACCATCCAGTTCCAATCCCCCTGCCGTGAGCGGGGAACCTTCCACTAGACCAGGATGCTCAAAGTCCCATTCAATCTGGCCTTGTATCACCTCTGGTTTTGTCTTGTTTTTATGGGCTATATAGTATTTCCAAGAAAAACAGATGATACTCAGATGCCATATAATCCATCCACCGTATATTCTCATCCATTGAAGCCAATATAAAAAGAAAACAGCAGATTTGGGGAGCCCCAAGAGCTTGATGTTGTGGCCACATTGAACAGCAAACTAACCAGAAGATAAACTAAAACTCCACTTGCTCTAGCGCCCTGCAGTATAATGTCTTAATCCTTGAAGGAACTTACTGTAATACCATAATGTGAAATAGCACAAATGGTGAGGTGGACACCACCACTCAGCCATGTTAAAGCAATTTAATTAATTTAAAGCAATTTAATATTAAATTTACACCATTAGGTGAAGTAATAAGTAACACTTGAGGGAGGTTAAGGAGTGCATTCACAGCAAACAGTGCTTAAGGAATGCCAGTTGGGTCACCCAGCCATGTTGAATGTACAGCACTGCTGAGACAAGAATATGGTCTTCTCTGTTTTAGGCTGCAGGCTGGAGTCCAGGATTCTTTCTTGACTTTTGAGGTTTACAAAGATGAGATCACAATGCAGCTTGTCGACAAAGCCTGCAAAGTATTAGGTATGTATTGGCATGCCTCAAAAATGGATCATCCTGGGTCAAGCCTGAGACTGCAGCCCAGATTTTGTCCCTTGTGCCCTTGGGAATGCCTTCCCTACGCTGCAAATTTTATGCCTTCAATCTTAATCCACCTGACAACATTGCAAGAACTTCCAAACCTTTCTTATTCCTTAAGGTATCTTTATTTTTGCCAGGTGTTCCTGCTGACATTGTTCTGAGGGAGTTTGGAAAGTATTTCTTTGAATTCTGTAAGCGCTCAGGCTATGACCACATGCTGAGGACACTGGGTGGAAATCTCTATGAGTTCATAGAGAACCTGGATGCCTTGCACAGCTACCTGTCCCTTTCTTACCAGGCAAGTCTGAGTAGTAACTGCTGAGCAGGTATGGATGCACTCTGACAGAGTTCCTAACACAAGGAACAGCATCTCATAGGTGTGAATAAATAATGAAAAAAATCACCAGAGCATGTTCTCTTCTGCTGTGTTCTGACACAGATTACTCCAAATGTTAGGACAATTTCTAAAAATGTTTGGTTTTCACTAGTCCTCAACATTAGGCATTATTTACTACATTGGCTCTAATGCATAGCAGATTTTTCTTCTCAGGTGAGAATATTTAATTTTCTGTTTTTCAATTTATTTGTATTACAGTTCATGTTATTAAGGCATGAGATGATTTTGTATAAGTGGAATTCATCTGTAGACTTTTTCAGAAAAAAGATACTAAGGTCTTGGTTTTGTTTGTTTTATTTCCTCAGGAGATGAATGCACCATCTTTTAGAGTAGAAAAGAATGAAGATGGGTCAATGCATTTACATTACTATTCAGACAGAAGAGGTCTGTGCCATATTGTGCCAGGTAATGAGACTAAATGCAGAGTACATATCAATGCAATGCATGTACAGACTAATCATAAATTTGCAGATGCACTCAGAGTTCAGTATCTTTTTTTTAGATGAGGCCTGGCCATGGAATTGAAGCCTCGTAGAGTTCGGTGCCCAGACACCTGAACTCAGGATTCCCCTACTGCCTGATCACTCCTAGCTCCCAGTAGCTCATCAAAATTTATTGTATGACAAGCCAGGCCATAAATGTCCATTCTTGCTATACAGAACTCCCTCCCTGGAAGAAAAAATAGGCTCATGGTGTGTATTGTGTCTGTTTATTAATTTTCAATGACTCGCGCTTTTTAAATTACAGTGACGTAGAAATTCTAGTTGAATTGAAGACATTCATCCACCCTGTAGAACATCCAGTCTGTAAAACTCCTACTGAACCCTGCTCCAAACTGAATCTTTTACCAGCATTTTCCACAATCTCCAGAGCTGTACTTGTGCAAGCATTAGAGAGCTATAGGTCTGTAAGAGATGATCATGTTCCTTTCTTTCATAAATGATGCTGAATTTAGAAGTTCATCAAAACATCCCCCTTTGTCAAAACTTATTCGATATTGAAAGCACAGAATTATTTGGAATTTCAGAAAGAGCTTTTGATGTCATTTTGATGTCCAGTCTTTTGCCTAAAACATAACCAGAAATGAGAGAACTGATTGTGCATCTGCATGAAAGATATTTCCTTCCTTTCAAAATATAATATTCTTCAATGACTGAAATAGATTGTAAAGCAGAATCTTTTTAGACTCCCTGCACTCTTTGGGTTGATGGAAATTCATATTATTGCTCTATGCCTACTTGAACACATTCTTTAGATGTCCTGCTGAGCTGCTCCTAGTGAAAATCAGCATTTGTCTTCAGCCAAGGCAAAAGCAGCAGTAACTTTAAAGCTGACCTCCTATGTGCATATTCTCATCATGGCAACGGTAGCAAGAACGACAGGTGTTGCTTTCTTCTTCCAGAGTCCTTTGGAAAAGTGATTTCTGAAACAGTGAAATTCCACTGTGGGCCCTCTGAAACGGGAATTGAAAAGGTTTTGTTCTTGGCAATACCTTGTCTTTTGTTTCCCGTTCAGGAATCATCGGTGCAGCAGCCCTGGATTTTTTTAACATTGAGATTTCAATGAAAATAGTCAATCAAACAGAAGAGGAAGAAGAAAGAACTGGGAAAAAAGAACATATTGTTTTTCTTGTCACTCAAAACCCTCTCTTTCCATCCAAGGAAAGAAATGAATTTTCTTCCTCATCTCAATGTCTTGTTGACTCTGAAAAACAAATTGAAAACCAACTGAATAAAGAGGTATTTTAATATTCATTATCACCATATTACTAAAATACATTTAAAATAAAAACACCCTAGAAATTTCCCTTTGGATTTATTTCAACAGGACCTTGAAAAAGCCAAGAATGCAAATGGAGACAGAGGGAACTCTGTTTGTCCTGTTAAGAAGAGTCACTGGAGAACATTAAGAGGAATAATCACATTAGGAAAAGGTGAGAGATCATTCAGAGGGAGCTCGTCATCATTTCTGAGTCTCTTCAATTAGAAAGTCAGTAAGCCTCCCTATCCCCACCCACCCATCCATTTTAAAGTTACCATTTATATTTCCTCTGCAACTGTTCAAAATGTTTCTGGTTACGTTTCTTTCAGTTTGACATTGCTGATCAAAGAAAAATTGCAGATAATAAGCATGCTTAGTAATGACAGATACTTAAATGGAATATGACCTGTCACTTTTGTCTCTTAAACAGGGCTTTCATCTGAAAATTGTTCTTCTATAAAATGTCATTGTGTGATGAATTCATTCTCATGTCACTTTGTATAAGATGCTGAATTTAAAAGTGTGGTTTTTTAATTTGGTAGATACTACTTCTTTCCAAAATTATCAACTGTAGTAAATTTTGAAAGCCAAATTAAATCCTCCACTACCAAAAGTCTACTGCTAATCTAGTAATCCCTGTTCTTACCTCTATGTATTAGATGTTTATATATGTTTATAAAATGGAAGGAATTTTTAAGTTAGGATCTTACTTGCTAAGTGTTCCTTAGTAGCTGGAAAAATGTAAATCCACTTGTGTGCATATTTTTGTGGGATGGAGCTGTGTTATATTGCTGTGGCATATGCAGATTCATAGAGAAGTAACATCTACAGTTGTTCATCTATTCTTATTTTTTCCACATATTTTCATGCATTTAGTGCTCTGTGTTTTTGGTGTACTTAAGTTTTAAGCACCCAGCCAACTCACAGCAGTTGCTAATCAGCTGTGGGTTACACTGCAGAGCATTTAGCACAGATGTGTGCACATTTCTGGGCCCACACACTGTTTGCTTTTGTCTTCACTCACTATGATATAGGGTCCTGTCTCACCAAGTGATACAAAGTAATGCTGATTGGTTTTATGACGAGCAGCCTCATTTAAGAACTACGCATTTATCTCACCACAGGTAAGCTCCTGAGAGGATTTGATCCTGTTTATCCCAAGAGCCTCTGGATTGATACAAAAACGTTTTGCAATGGACTTCCTTTTCATATGGTTTTTGACAAAGAGGTAGGACAAGCTTCTGGTCAGGGCCCTTAGTTTGCATAAACCTCCTAGTACTTTCCCTCTGTTTTGACTGTCCTACAGTTTCCTGCTTCGTGTGCTCTGTGTGCAGTCTACACCCAGTTACAGGATTTGCAGAAATACTCTGTACAGAGACATGCTCCATATCGCTGCAGATAGGAATCTCCTTTGCATTTATCGAGTTCACCATGTCTGAAACAGCTGCAGATATGCCAGCAAGGTTTATTGCAGCAGTCTATCTGTTACCAAACAGTGAGCAGAATTTTTCTGGTTTCTGGTCACCTTCCTGTTCCTGGATATACCAGAGACACGTCCCATCCTTTAAATTGGCTTTGCAGTTTAAATGATGTTCCCCCCTCTCCTCCCACTTGCTAACCCATCCCAAGGCTTTGAGGGCTTTGCTGGCAGCTGAGGCTTTGTGCTTTCCTGAGTCTGCTCCCAGCTACTGACTGAATCAGGCAGCGTGCAGCCCCACTGGGACCCAAAAATCTCTTTATCTTCTGGGGCAGGACTGAGTCTCCTCTCCTGTGCACACATACCCTGCAGCCACTTCAGGGCTGCCCTTGGCTGGTTCACAGCCTGCCTGGGTTCCCACAAGCTACAGGTCCTCTTGCTCCAAACTCTGTGGAGAGAATACTGGCTTAAGACAGGAGCAAAGAAAGGAGAAGCTGAGGATGGGACAGCAGAAGAAGGCTGAGTACATTCCCCTCAGGGAACATTTTGTGTCGTGCTGATCAAGGTTCCAGAGCATATAATCTGCTTCATGCCACTGCCCACATCAGCCAAAATGCAGAGTCTTAAAACTTTCAAGAAGGCCAGTATGCATAATTTAATAAAATTACTAGTGTGCAAAGAAGAAAAGTCCTACACCCATTACTGTTAGCCAGGTCAGAGCTTCAATAACTGATGACAAGCAGAGAAGAACACTTCTGCAGAATTTAGGAGCTCACGTATGGTCAGCAGAGTAAAGGAGAATTACTAAACCTTTACACTCATTAAGAGAAAGTAACCCATGGCATCTATTAGAAAATTAATATTTGTCAAGGCATTTTATGCCACAGTTGTTTTCATTTTGGAATATAAGACACACTGGTATCTCTAATTTTCTCCTGCAGCTACCTGTAAGGCTGTTTGTGAGGCCTACACAAATGCAAGCAGGGATAATAGCAGGTGGTTTTGGGGGTTTTTCACAATTGACAGGAAGGAACATTTTAATAACAACATTAATTTCTTGTGGCTTTGTCTTGCTATGAAGGGCATGCATTCAGAGCTGTGTAGTGCTACACTGACAAGGGAGAAACTTTGCTCAGAAATAAGTCGTGTGCTCTAGAAAGGCTAAGTGTGGGGAAATGTATAAACAGTGATCAGCTGTAGCTTGGTCTGAACCCAGAGGGACATGGATTGTAACACTGGTCCATATTTTCTTTTTAAGCTCAAAGTGAAGCAAGCTGGGGTGAGCATTCAAAAGATTGTACCTGGCCTTCAGACCATGGGCATCTGCTTGGATCAGTACTTCAGAATCATTCACCCAGAAGTACCCTTCACCATCTCCAGCATTCAGAAATTCATCAACAGCCAATTTGTTTTCCAGACTAGGAGAGAGATGATGCCTGAGTCATGGAAAGAACGGCCAATGCTAGAGCTAAGAGGTATTTCACTGTTTTCAATAGTATAAGTGCTCATATTAAATCAGGAATTACACTGAGGTGTACTCCTGACCTCACTCAAGTCCTATAAATAGCCTTTGGGCAGTGAGGAGATTAGATGGTTCTGTTTAGAGAAACAGTACATGCTTGTACACAAATTCTGCTGTCACCTCACCAGATTTTGAAGGCTTTCAGTCAGAAACAACAACTCTGCTCCTATTTGAAAGACTAAGAAATATGGTGGTTTTCTAATGCTGCAAAACTCACATGTGAATACATGATTTGTTCTTAATTTATGCCTTTGAGGGGAGTTATTTGCTACTGGCTGGGTTTCAAATGTGATTAAAAATAGATTTGTTCTCTGTGCTTTTATTTTTTGTAGCACATTTTCAGGTTCCAATTTCTGTCTTCACAAACCCCCCCAAAGACATGTAAGAATTTACCAGTTAAAATTATCTCAGCAATAAAGATACTGTATTTGCTTTATTTTTAGTGAGAGGACTGAATATGAGATGATCCTCTGCTTGGTGTAATTAACTATAATGACATTTTGTTTAATTGTTCTGTGCTTCAGTTCTTCTTTTCTCTTTTAATGTGACCTAATTTTCTCTTGTCTCCTTTCACCTTTATGTAATGAGTGTCAAATCTTGTTTTACTGAGATTCAGAAAAAAATTTTAAGGTCTAGGGACACCTTGAAAAAAGTAATGCTACCAAAACAAGGAACTTTGACTGCTCATGGATACAACTGTACTTTCTCTTATGCTCTAGGGGTTAATTCACATGTATCTATCATGTTTCAACCCTCTTAGTTTTAAAGCTCTTCATCCAGTAGCACTGGGGATGAGGTGAGGGAGAAAGAAAGAAATAGGAATTCCTAGATTGCTGTTTTGCTACTTACAGAGCAAGTCAATAATACTAATACTACTACTAATAATTAGAATCGTAATCAAACCTCAACTAAAACCCAAAAAGCTAGATCCCCCACCAAAAATCCCTTTTACCTTTCAGGCATTTTTATAACTGCTTATTTAGATTATGATAGCAACTAAAAGCTGCTATTACCAGGGAGGAAAGTGCCATTGACTTTACTGGGACACAAACTATGCACTGTGAAATTAAACTTCAAATGTTTTGCTTAATCACTGTGAGTCTCAGTTCCCCTGTGCATGATTCTGACTGACTGCAGAGCTATTTGGGAATAGCTCAAGAACTAGGAGGAGAGGAGGGGACAATGCAGAGAGGAGGGAAAGGAGAGATGTTGAGAGCGCTGGGGTTCCTCATGAGGAGGAGGGACTTGAATCATAGCTGGGCTCTGCCCAGCACCTGCAATGAGGGAGTGACTGCTTCCTGGGCTCCAAAATTTGGTTGTTTGCCTAGTGTGGCTCCTCTGTACAAGTTCACCTCGAATTCCTAGGAAATAAATTCCTGTGATCATCCAGACCCTACAGAAACCCACTGAAGTGGATGATCACAGCAATTTATTTCCCAGGAAATTTAAGGCAGAAGTTCCTTAGAACTCTGCCTAAGATTAACAGCAGTAATGTTGAGCACCCTGTGAAAGGCCACACTGCTGAAAACCCTTGCCAATACTTGTTCCACACAGGCCAGATGATGTGGATGGAGTCCCTGCAGTGCATGCTCTACCTCTGCTCACCTTTGCTTCGCACTTTGCATGAGCTGGAGGAGAGGCAGATGCACATTGCAGACATCGCCCCTCACGACGTGACCAGGGATTTGATTCTCCTCAATCAGCAGCGACTGGCAGAGATGGAGCTCTCAAACCAGCTGGAGAGGAAGAAGGAGGAGCTGCGGATCCTGTCGAAGCACCTGGAGGAAGAGAAGAAGAAGACTGAAGCTCTGCTCTATGCCATGCTTCCCCAGCACGTGGCCAACCAGCTGAAAGAGGGGAAGCGAGTTGAGGCAGGTGAATGAACAGGATGCATTTGGGATGTGTGATTTGTGCAACGGGGGATGGTGATAGAGAGATTGGGGTGCTGGCACAGCCCCTTTGCCACTGCCCTGGAGTCCATTCTCTACCTGGGGACATCCATGTGTAGGAGGATAATCACAGACCCTTAATTTTGCTGATAATAAAAATTAGGCTATTCTTTCAAAGAAAGCTTTGGAAGCTCTTTGCCAAAATTGTTCCTTAGGTGTTGAAAGGTGGTAATAGCTGCCCATTCAGTGAACAAAATTCGGTGTTTCAGCAATAATCTGAGATTTTGGTTTTAACTTGGGCACACAGGAGAATGAGGGCTCAGAAGTGAAGGGAATAAAGAAAGTGGACTGACTTTGCTAGAAAATTCTCTTAGTACCTTTATGCTATCTATAAATGTAGGATGATGACGATTCCCATTGTTATTAAGGGTAGCAATAATATGCTTAAATTCCCCTTAGTGAGCACGTATATGAAATTAGGGATAACGAGCTAATTGTATCCTGTATATGGTATATTCAGATTTTTGGGTTGTTTGAGACGTGCAATTATTCTTATATTTGATACACTCTTACATTCTTACCTCTCCTTCATCTCAGCACTTGTGTATGATTATTACAACTGAGAGGCCATAGAATGGTCTTTTCAAACAAGTCTCAAACAGATACTGTGGCTGTCTGTTACCACTGTTCTTTCTGCCCACAGGAGAGTTCAAGGAGTGCACTATATTGTTCAGTGATGTGGTGACCTTTACCAACATTTGTGCCCAGTGTGAGCCTATTCAGATAGTTCTCATGTTAAATTCAATGTACCTGAGGTTTGACAGACTGACCACAGTGCATGATGTGTACAAGGTAGGTACTGATCAAAAAAGGCTGCAGAAATTTTTGCTGTTTTTTTTTTTGTTGGTTGGTTTTTTGTTTGTTTTGTTTTGTTTTTAAATGTACTTAAATCCTCTTTACCACAGCATGATTCTTGATTAAACCATAAAACATTACCTATTTGTAGTGGCCACACAAACTGAAAAACAGGGAGAAGTGGAAATTATTGGACAAGAGCACAACTTCTGTCATAGGCTAAAGTCTCTTCCCACAATGCTAATACCAGAACGGCTCTTCTTTTGTATATCTCTCTCTCCCTTCTTTCTCAAATGCCTGTCCAACATGAATAATTTGCCTAGTTCTTTTATTTGAACCTCTTCTGAATGGGTCACCATGTCATAGTGTCTTTTGGTAGGAAATAATGTTATAAACAATACCCAGACAACAGATAGACTTTTATTTCGCGGAGATCTTCAGCAATGGTATCATCTCCTGCTAACCCCCACAGAGCATCAGTTAGACCTAGACTGTACATGTGGTCTCCAAACTGTGCTGGAAGATCAGAGCCCTGGCTGGCCTATAATAGTAATGTTATTAACACTTCTAGAGGTACCAGATTTGATGTGCTGAAGAGCACTTCCTAAGTTTCTGTCTGTCCCCAGCTCATTAAATATTTAGGAAGGCAAAAATAGTAAAGGGTGAAATCCAAATCTCGTTCATTCCTTGCTCAGGCAAGGCTTGCAGTTCATTGCACAATAAATTGTACTGGGAAATCAGAAGCATTTCTTCCTTGGCAAGGAATCTGTATTCAATAATTGAAGCATCCAGGATATGGCCCACAGATTTCAGGATAAATTAGCATCATATTCTATCTAAATCATCCGTCATAAGTAAATGATCTGTCACTATAATATCTCCTTTTGAAGCCTGTATATAACTCCTATTAATATTGAAGGAAGTTACTGGGGTACAGAGAGCAAGGATGAGATTACTATTGCAGGGAATTGGGAAAGGAATGAAATAGTGACATTGATCAAAGAAATCTGGCCCAAGCTTATAAACATCTGAAGTTATGAATAAATCTTGTTAAATTAAATCTTCTACTATGGCTGAAAAATAATTAGGGTATCTGTTTGCATTAGTAGCTTTTTGCAGTTGTTTTTAATTTGTTACAGAAAATTACAGGCATCACTCTGGGTTTGGCTGTCTGATAGAAGGCATGGACAGGAACACATTCTTTGAGATTGATGTGCTGAACTGTTTTAAGTCATTGTGTTAATGAACAAACCCAAATATTAAATTATGTTTCCACTCTCCTATTTATGTTAATTTTTAAGAAAGCCAATTAGTCTAATCTAAAAGATCTCTTATTTACTGATGATAAATGGGCCAGTGAAGCCTCATAAGAGCAATTTGGAAAATTTCATTACTGTCTAACAGGCTTTTACAGTGGATTTTATACATTTAAGAATTCTCTGTTTCAAACAGGTCTGTTCTATTCACAGCAAAATTTCTAGTACAGGAACAAAATCCAAAGTATTTATCAGATACTTTAGAGTGTATTTCAAGGAAATGGGATGCCTGAAGGAGGATAACCCTTCAGCATTTGTCTCACAGGCTGCAGCTGTTGTGGGAAAACAGCTGGTTGTAGGGAAGGATGCTCCCAAATTGTTTAGCTCACACTGTATTCTGTGACATCCTGGAGACTGGAGGTTCCTTAAATTTGTGTGTACCCCTTAATCATAATCAACAGTGAATGGGCTCCCTTGCTGTATTATGGCTTTTTAAAAAATAAATCTCTCTCAAATAAGAAACACACTTTTAGCACCAATTGTGAATTAGGGCTAATTAACAGCACTCATCTGTCAGGGAACCTCCTGGCTCAGGAGGCTGTGCCTCGGGCTAGCTCTTTGCATGTCTGCATGTCTTTACCAAGGTCTGCCCTGGGTAAGAGGAAGGCAAACAGTCTGACACTTGCACAGGAGATCTTTCTCCTTAGGGTCTCTCACACTGATACCTAAAATGGGTCAAGTGAGCAGGGACTGAATGCGAGGAAATTTTTAGTGTGGAGTGAAGGAAAAGATCTTCATCTCAAGGAAACTCATGTGTGCTAAAGCTTTCCAGTGACTGGAAGCATCTTTTAAGAGAAAGGGGCAGTTGGTGTAGATAAGAGCCCTGAACAGCAAAACACTAACCTGAGTGAGGTACACCTGGCATGCTGATGTGCTTGTCCCTCTCAATTAAAGGTGGAGACGATTGGAGATGCCTACATGGTGGTAGGTGGGGTCCCTGTGCCCGTACCCACTCACGCAGAGCGAGTTGCTAATTTTGCCTTGGGCGTGATAATGGCTGCCAAAGGAGTACAGAACCCAGTTTCTGGGAATCCTATCCAAGTAAGTTAATGCAAAGGTGCATGTGTGTGTCTCTCTGTTTCTTGTGCTGAGCTTCTGGTTAATGTATTGCAGCAGCACCTCAAAGAGCTGCTTCTGACTCCGCTTTGGGCAAGGCCCACGTGGACACGTTTTCATGAAGAGCCTCTCCCTGCAGATATTTTATATCATACTGCTGCCCAGTGTTGTGTTGAGATGAACTTTTTGGTGGCTGGATAGCTTTCAGAAAGATGTTAAATAACAAGTGACATTTCTGGGGGGTGTTTTATGTCTTTGTAAAGATTCGAGTTGGGATCCATACAGGTCCTGTCTTGGCGGGGGTTGTTGGAGAAAAGATGCCTCGTTACTGCTTGTTTGGAGACACGGTGAATATCGCCTCCCGTATGGAGAGCCACGGCGTGCCCAGCAAAATTCACCTGAGCTCCAGTGCCTATCAGTGAGTAACTGATGGAAACTACCTGCTCAATTCCATGCTAAAATCCACTGCCTTGGCAGCTGCACCTTCCAGTGTAGATGGTGCTTAGTCACTCATTTAAGCAGCTTGTAAATGACTGTCACTGCTTGTAAATTTTAATTTTTTTCCTAATTATTCCAAATATACTTATATATAGAGGCAAAGGTTTGAGAGTCTCCATCCTAGAAAGCAAAATATTAAAAAAAAAATTAATTGTGATAACTTATTTGGAAATACTGATAAATTAATGGAGATGCTAGAAAGACAGAACATTTAGAACATTTAATAACAAAAGGTTTAAAATCTCTCTGATTGAGCACCATAATTTGTAGTGAAACAGTTTTATTTACACTTATCAAGGATTAACTACATAAACAGTTATCCTCTTCATGCTGTAATTTACTTTCCAGAAACTCATGTTTGTAAAAAATTAATACTACATTTTCAAGAACTTTATGTATGCATAAAATCTGTATGCACGAGTGGAAGCAAAGACAAACTACAAAGGAAGGAGTACAACAACATTGTCTGGGCACATAGGAATGATGCTGGGAAAATGAGAACGCAGCTGGCATTGAAATGGGCAGCAAAGTTCAAAGGCAGTCAGAGGAGCTTCTGCAATGTTAGAATATAAATAGAAACATGGACCTGCTGTGGCAGGTGATTTAGTGACAGTGCCCTGAAGAAAGGCTGAGTTACTCAAGGCCTCTCCTGCTTTGGTCTTCACTGATGAGATCTTCAAGGTCCCTGCAGCAAGGGTCAGGGTTCAAGGAGTAGGTGAGCTATGAGTACTGGAAGAGGATCAGAGCAGGGGTCTTTTGAGGCATCTCAGTCTACAGAATGCACAGGAGCAGAAGGGATCTGAGGTAATGAGAGCTGGGTGATGGCACTGCAGAGCTGCTGGCTGTCAGCTCTGGAAGGCCATGACTGTCAGCACCGTAGCAGCTGAAGAAAACTACAGCTGCATGGAAAAATGGAAAGGGGGACATGGTGAAACTGTAGGCTGGTATGTCTTCTGTCAGTCCCAGTGAAAATCTAATGGCCATTTTTTGGACACATGAAAAAGGCAATTGGAAATAGCAAGTCTGGATGTGAAATAAATTAGTCAGTCATGCTTGATGGACCTGATTGCCTTCTCTGATGAAATGACTGGGGATCATTCTGTCTAGCTTATATTGGCTGCCTCACTTCTTAATTTCTGTTTACTGGTGAATAAGAACCCTCCACCCTACTGAAGTATTTGACTATGTGATCCATTAATTTTTGATCAGACTGTATGCATAAAGCTATGACAGCACAACAAGCTTGAATAAACAGTTGAAACAAACCCTCAGTTGTTCACAAATTGAGATCCTTTTCCCCAGACTGTTGTGATTTGATCACTCAGCTTTTTTAAAATATCAGAGTAGTTTTAAATTGTCTTGAATTTTCATGTGTCATTTTGCTTCTGATACTTTAGGTGCCTAAAATACAAGAATTTTGAGATTACTGAAAGAGGAGAAATAGAAGTAAAAGGAAAAGGGAAAATGCGCACATACTTCCTCATTAGAAATAAATCTGCAACTGAAAATGAGATTATGGGAAAGCCAATGAAAGATTTGGATTCTGGCCATGAATCTGTTCAGTCCTTTCCAGAAGGCAAGACTGAAACTATACCAAGTTCTCATCAACCAGGTAGAGTCAACTCAACACGTATTTTCCTCCTTGAACAAACTAACATTAATACAATCCAATTAAATGTCCTTTTGTGTTGTTCTTTCAGCTACTCAGACTCAGCAAAAGAAGGACCAGACCCCAGCTATTGCAATGAAGTATGTTGATGGCCCCCCAGATGCACAAAACAGCCTCAAAAGAAGAAATCAGATGAAAGTTGGAGATTTAACAGGTAGTTTTTTAGTTGCCATCTCACAAAGACCACAGAACTAGGAAGTAATTGAGGCTTAATCTTGCAAGTTCTTTATATTCATCTTCTGAATAACCATAGTTTTACTCAAGCCAGAAATTCATTCCAGCATATACACATTACCCTTCTGCACAATTTTTAGGGCCAGACAAATTTCACCTTTGGAGCAATCCCAGGTGTTGACTGTGCACTAGTGAAAAAGAACCCCAGAGCCCTTCTGGAAGTGCAGATTAAATGGATAAACGTTAGACAGCTCTTGACAGGGGCAGACCCATGAACTGTTCATGCACACATCTTTTCCCAGAAGCCTTATGGGGGAGCCTTACCAACTCTAGAGAGACCTCAGTCCTGTCTGCTGCAGGAATCAGAAGAATTTATTGCCATGCTTATGTTTTGTGACCGAAGTTCATTCTCCTTTGAAGTAGCTGATACTGAGAGATAACAGATTTGATGCCATAACAACCTAATCTTATGCAGCAAGTCTTGTAGTTCTATTTATGTGTTTTGTGGATTTTATACAGACTAAATATGTTGTTGCTAATTACTAGAAAATATTTTACTGCCTTCCCTCCCACCTGCTTAGATGTGGTGGTTAGTCTAGTATGTGTTGTGCTGACAAACAGAAACCTCTCTGGTCCTTAAAAACTCACACTGCAGGAGTGTTTTCTTTCAGGCAAAACTTGTGATTCCAAAAGCGATGGGAGTCTCCATGGCAACCAGCATGCAGATGATGGTCCTCGTCCTCCAAACCAGGGAAGAGTCAAACCTGCTACTGAAGAGCCACAGAATAGAAATGTTCGCTCTAATTTTTGCACTTTACTCTAGGTTTCTTACTTTTACATTAAACAGAGAAATTTTGTTATGATTTTGTGCATTTTGCTGTTATGGGACTTATTTTGTATATGAATACCACATGATTTTGTAAAAAAAAAAAAAAAAGAAAAAAGACATTTCATCACAGTTTTCAGTAAAAATAAAACAGTGGAGGAAAATTTTTTAATCCATCTACATGGGCCATATTATACTCCCAGTGGAGAAAGAAACCCTTGCAGGATGCTTTGAAGATGCATTTTCAGCCTGTGCCACATCTTTGAATATCCTTGTATAAAAATCATGTGTTGGTATCTGATGCAGCAATCGGGAAAGAGGTGACTCATCCAGCTAGAAATATTCCTACTCAAATGAGCACTTGCCATAAAAGAAACATTCCCTGAAGTGACCATCTGTCTTGACTCCAGCACAGCCAACAACTTCCCCATGTAAGGTTAGCAGCATTCCACCTGTGTTTTAACTGCCCTAACAGCTACATTTCTTAACATGTCTTTTGTTGGGTAAAGGCATTATGAAGTAGAAGTGCAGAATAGATCTAAAACAACCTGTATTTTTGCATCCTGAAGAGAGAATAATGTGTACTCAGTAGCAGCCAATGGTAAAAAAGAGCATCTGTGATCTCTGGACCAGCCATACATACTGTGCATAGAAGGACATGGAAATGGTGGAGTTACAAAGCATCAGATTTGTCACAACACTGAAGGACTGTTCAAGGCCTACAACCTATTTGAGACCTTCAAATGAGTTTCAAGTTTATTTTTCATTTTTTCACCCCAGCTAAACAACAAAAAACAAAAAGATTGAGGACAGCAGAAGGAGACTGTCAGTGCTGGAATTAGTGTTAGCAGCAATGAAAACAACAGCATTAGAGATCAACATTACCTGGTATCAGAGGCTGCTCAACTGAAATACTTCCATGCTGATATATTCTTAGAGTATATGTATTCTTAGAGCCTGATCAGAAATGGGAGAGAAAAATTGAAGCTCATTTGTCAGGATTTCAGAGAGAGGAGCAAAATTACAATGGTTATAAAGGTTGTAGACGATTTGGTGCATCATAAATTGTGCTCTCACTCCTATAAATGGAGCTTGGAATAGGTGGGTGACTTTGACAGAAGATGTGCCCTGCACACTGATTTATTACCTCTGGGTGTGGATTCATCAACTAAGGATGCAGGCATGAGACCAATGTGCACTCTGGGTAAGAACTCACTGAAGAGGGTGATAATGTTACTCCTCTCTACCAGCCTGGAGCATCACATTTCCACCTCTGTGTCTGCAGCAAGAACAAGGCTCTTTAAACACCAGACAGAGAGCTAAGACTGATGAAAGGCATCTCCTCCTCTTTATAGTATAGCCAGATGAAATTTCACCTGGTTAGATTTTTTTTTCAAATCTCTGAGACAGGGGCTCCATAGTCCAGGAGCTCAGTCTAAAGGAACAATTAGTGCAATTAGACCAGCAGAGGAGGGTGCACAGAGTGAAACCATTGGTGCTGTTCTCCATGCAAGAGATGTTCCTGGGGGTTTGCTAGGTGTGGTCCCAGGCAATGAATACCTGTTAGCTTTTGGAGCACCTCAGAAGCACATCCTCTGACAGCTTCATCCAGAAGAGATCCATTTGTGTGCTGTGAGACCGCTACAGTGAGAAATAAAGTATGGTAAGTGGGTTTGAGCAGGAAATTCCCTCAGGACTGTACTCCTGATTGACGAAATTCTGTTGCAGGCACACCCTGTAACAAAAGGACCTTCCACCATACAGCTGAGCAGCACCATTCAGGGAGTCCAATTTTATGAGTGGAAAGCTTTACTCAATTATTTGGATTTTGTCATCTAAGTATTGTTCATTATTTTGGCAAGGGAGAGATCTACTGTATGTTGATGCTGTGTCTAAGGGTTATAATTGTTAGGCTGGGTATCAAGATTTCAAACTCTGCTACCCTCAGACACACAACCTAAATGTCACCTTTGCTTTTGGTAGCTCCTCCCCATCCTCCCAGTGCTCCTGTAGTACAACCGCAGCTTTAACGACTTTCCTGAAGAATGAGAATACCCAGTTTCTCTCACTCACAATGATGTAAAAGTGAAGTAACAGTTAAATCAGCACTATCCCAGTGATTGAAGTTAAGAAGGAACTCTGAGCAGACTTTCGTGTCTCCAGCCTAGAGATGTGTTTCAGTACTCTGGACTAATCTTGCTGATGGAATGGAGAACATGTCATCTAACAAATGGCAGTGGAGGATTCTCATTTTTGGCTGTGGACATCTAAAGCCTCTTTAGTTCCAAGCACAAGTGTGACACAGGAGTTTACATCTCTCGGTGGCCAGTGTGAATGCAGCAGGGAAGCTCTTGCTGTCTCTGGTGCTCTTACAGTCCCACACCTGTGTGGCTGAACATCACTGACCACTCTGAAAAAGAGAATTTCCATTTGGAAATGGTCCAGCCAGCCTGGCCACCAGTGTATAGGGTTTGGTATATATTCTGAGGTTTAATATAGATATGCTACAGAGTTTTAGGCAGAAGCCCAGAACTCCTCTGAACTTGTATGGATCATCTTGGGAAGAAGAAAGAAAAGGACCATGGCTTAATTGCTGCCAGCATCTCTCTGTCCTTTAACACTTGCTTTGCTTAAACCTGCCCTTCTTGCACTGAAAAATCTATGGGTGTTTAATATTGGAATGTTTTAATTGCCAGTAAGTGCTCCATGGTAAGGTACTTCATGCTGTACTGTGGTAAAAATAGTGTGCTCAGTGGTTTCTCTGTGGCATCTGCTACAATCTGGTTCTCCTGGAGTTGCAGAGCTGGGTCAAATCTGCACAACTGCTTCTAAAAATTAATGTGCCTGTGCATCATCATGTGTTCTTAAATCTGTAGGCACTGCTAAAGACTGCAGAAATACAATTCAAAAATAAATCTTTTCATTAATACACTGACTGCCATTTGTCAATGACTACTTTGATTCCTGTCCCTCTTTTCCTTTCCACCTTTCCTATTCTCTTTTTCCTCTTGGCCTAAGAAAGTGCTCAGTCTTTGTGTCAGTCACATATCTACAGTGAATTGACACAAAAAGGGTGGGAGAATTCCCAGCACTGCTTCATGGAAGCTGAGGGTTAGGAAAATTAAAAGTTGAGACTTTTGAAAGCTTTCTGAAGCATATGGATTCCCAAATCCCATTAACTGTAAAAGTCTGGGTACCTTAAAGGTCCTGGGCAAGATATTTCAAAAACTTTTGTTACTTTCCTAAGTAAAAATAACTGGATTTAGGTGCTTAATTGAACATATATGCAGTGTTTAATTCCCACAAATGATGCTTTCCTTAAAACATTTATAAAGCATTTCCCTGTAAAGCCTTCTAAAATGGGCTGTTTAGTAAACTTTCCAAACTGGAACCTCGTTTGTATTAATTCATTACTTCTGACGTTACAATGCAATTCTGTATGAATCCAAGCTGAACATAAAAATGCACAAATAAAACAGCAGTGAAATTGAAATTATTTTCAATAGTGAGAATATATTAAAACTATACTTGAATATAAAATCTATGGTGAAATTCAAAATGAAAAAAGAAACACACAATTTCATAGAAGTATACAACATCATGGAAAATCCAGAGGGGATTTTTTCCTACTAAGTCTCTGCCTCCACCTTAGAAAACTCAAGACTTTAAGAGTAGACAATGAGATGAAAATCTTCCTTAAAGTTATTTGTACAAACATCTACTCTTCATGTATTCTCTATACAATATTCAATCATCAGTGCTTCCTGTACAGAAAGAAATAGCAGTGTGCAGTATTTTGATTCCATAAATAGTTGTAATCAAAATAAACATGGAATGTTGTCTTCACTTACATGAGCAGATTAACAAGCACTGCTCATTTTTTACAAGCTGTCTGTAGTTCTGTCTCACAGTTATGTTGCACTTGCTTGCTGAATTTCTGCTAATAATTTTTGTCCGAGCTGTGCTGAGAAGCCATTCCTAAAATATTCTGATATTCACAATTCTTCCTATTTTGGCTTGGTGTCCAGCCTTTAGACTCCAGCTGGATGAGCACAAGTGAGAAGCAGACTTGTAGTCATGTTTTCATACCAATAAGTACTTAGTCTCCCCTGTGCTCTGTTAGAAGTGAACCCCAAATGGACATTTGGACAAACTCATTGCCAGGCTTTGCAGAAATTCAGAGCAACATTAACTGACCCTGTAGCATCTCCTTAATTTTGCTGTATTAGTGAAGCTTGGAAGTTTTACCGACACAGAAAACCTCACAGGCTCTTTGATAGTTCTTTTGTCATTTGCATCAGACACCTTTCTGTCAAGGGAATCAGCAAACTCAAGTGCTGACACGGTTTCTGCTTTTTGTGATAAACACACCAAACCCAGCTTCAACACCCTGTTCACATCAGTCCTGAGGTAAGGATCTGAGACACATTGCACAGAAGCACTTTGTGGAGGCACCTTTGCTTTGTGTGGTCACATCACAGTGTCTGGGCTTTGTTGTGGCTTCCATTTCCATGCTGAACATCAGGCCAGTGACCCGAAACACGGCTGGGTGATGCTCTGTGGGCATCCTGCCAAAACGTTTTGCAGGAGAGGAACCTGACACACAGCTATCACTAAAGGCCAATTTATCTCAGGAATCAATGGGCCTTTAAAAATTCACCAGCTCACATATCCTTTTCAGTGATGGTCATTAGATGTTTTGTGCTCTGATTTTGTGGGCTTTTGAGAGAACCTTGCTTTTCAGCAAATGATGACATATCCATTGGTAAGAGGAAACTCACAGCCTTCACTTTACCCCTGAAGAAAAAGTGAGAAATCATTATGAGGATTAAAAATGCATAAAACACGCAGAGAAAGTAAAAAAATAAACAAAAACCAAAATACCAACCCAATGAGCAAAAAAGCAAAAGCTTTCAACCCTTGCATCCTACTGGAGGCAGGATTTCATGCATTCACATGGTCATCCCAAAGGACCAAGCATGGTCTTCTCTGCTGGA